ACCAAAATTAATATTTGGAAACAGCCTAAGTGCCCATCAGCAAATGAGTGGATTAAAACCTGTGGTACATCTACACAATGGAATACTATGCCACTAAAAAAAAGAAGGAGTTCTTAACATTTGCAACAGCATGGATGTACCTGGAGAGCATTATGCTAAGCGAAATAAGCCAGTCAGAGAAAGACAAATATCATGTGATCTCACTCATTTGTGAAATGTAATGAACAAAAATAGATGCAGAGACACAGAAGCATTGAACAGCCTGTCAAACCTCAGAGGGAAGTCAGGGGAGGGTGAGGGGGGAGGACAAGAGATCAACCGAAGGACTTACTTGTATGCATGCATATAAGCAAAACCAATGGACACAGACAGTAGGGGGATGAGGGCATGTGCTGGGTGGTGGGAGTGACAGGGGAGAGGCCAATGGGGGAAAAAGAGACATGTAATACTTCTGTCAAACCTCAGAGGGAAGTCAGGGGAGGGTGAGAGGAGAGGACAAGAGATCAACCGAAGGACTTACTTGTATGCATGCATATAAGCAAAACCAATGGACACAGACAGTAGGGGGATGAGGGCATGTGCTGGGTGGTGGGAGTGACAGGGGAGAGGCCAATGGGGGAAAAAGAGACATATGTAATACTTTAAACAATAAAGAATTTGAATTTTTTTAAAAAATAAAAAATATATCAAAGCAGCTAGTCAATGGAGTTTCTTTTTAATCAAGCAGTTCTGCATGATTTAAAAAGGTTTTATTGGTTTCTTAATATGATTACATTTCTATAAAAATGCTATTCTGAGCAGAATCTTTGCAGAAAGGGTAAACTTCATGGTTATGCCATATTCTAATATCTGTGCATAAGTATGTAATTGTTCATTTAATGGCCTCTCTCTGGAATATATAAAACCTCAGGTTGGCTTTTTTCTGACACACAGGATGATAATGTGTGCACAGAAAATGCAAACTTTTAATTTTGTTCTGTCAAAATAACTAATAAAACCAAGATTTCCACGTCAAGTGATTTTCATTTATCTACATCTCTAGATTATTCAGGTCAATGCTCCCAGTTTGCGAGAATTAAACTTCTTACTTTTATATTAGAAAATGCTCAAATTCATTTGCTTATAAATTTTCTGCTTCTATGAACAATCTGCAATATGTGAGAAGAGTTTAATAAGAAAAAAATCCCCCATCCTAGTAGAGAGAAAGGATAGTTAGTCTTCCTTTTTACTAGCCTCTAGTCCAGCCGTGGGCAAACTACGGCCCGCTGACCGGATCCGGCCTGTTTGAAATGAATAAAACTATTGAAAAAAAAAAGACCGTACCCTTTTATGTAATGATGTTTACTTTGAATTTATATTAGTTCACACAAACACTCCATCCATGCTTTTGTTCCGGCCCATTATGGGCCGGAAAAAATTCAAATTCTTTATTGCCCAAGGGTGGGCAAACTTTTTGACTCGAGGGCCACAATGGGTTCTTAAACTGGACCGGAGGGCTGGAACAAAAGCATGGATGGAGTGTTTGTGTGAACTAATATAAATTCGAAGTAAACATCATTACATAAAAGGTACGGTCTTTTTTTTCAATAGTTTTATTCATTTCAAACGGGCCGTATCTGGCCCGCAGGCCGTAGTTTGCCCACGTCTGGCCTAGTGTGTTTATTAAGGCATTAAACGTGTCTGTAACAGTCTGCTATGAACAGATATTCTTAATATGCTATAGTCCGAGCAATTTTATTGACTGGAAGGATGAGCCCATCGTGCCCCATGTTTCTTAACCCTGAGTGCAATTAGAGTCATTCGAGAAGCCCTTAAAAAGAACCAATGCCCAAGAATCACCCTACAACTCCAACCCAGATACTGATTTCATTCTTTTAGGGAATGACCCAGACATCCGTACTTGTTAACAGATGTCCAGGTAGGTTTAATATGAAGGTAGTGTTAAAATTGTATCTAGACCGCGATAAGGCCCAAATCTCTCCTTAAAGATTCTTCATTATTTCATAGCCAGCAACTGAGACCTTTCTGTGGGAACTATATAGGCAATCTCCATTTAGAAAAGGTAGATATATAATCTAAGGGACAAAGATCAACCTAGATATAAAAAGGATTACCAAAAATTCACAACATAACAGGAAAAACTTTAAGAGACCAAAACTTCAGTTAAATGTAGGAGGAAAGAAGCAGCAGGATAGAGAGGAAAACAGAGAAAAGTAGGACTGCGTGAGTGAAAATGTGAAGGTAACAGCTCATACTTAAATGTTCTCCTAATGTGCTTCAATTCCTATTACATGGGCCTCAATTACCTATGATCTCACTTGATCTTTACAACAATCCAATGAGGTATTATCATCTCCCTTCACATATGAGGACAAGGAGGCACTGAGGGGTTGCGTTAATGAACCGTCATATATTTAAACAGTGGTAGAGTGGGATTTCATCCCAGGATTGATTCCAAACATGTTGTCATACACATTATGTCATACTATCACCATGTCCAAAAACACCCCACCAATCTTACCTGATATAAGGCATACACAAACTCTTAATTATTTTATTGCTCAAGTCAAAGTGGTAAGTTACTATTATAAAACAAACTGTCAGCAGTGATTACTTTTGAATAGGGAGGTTATAGGTCACTTTTATCTGTATTTGATAAATTTCATATAATGAACATAAATTCATTCTGAAATAACAAAAGTTAAATTTTTAAAGTATATCACAGAATTTTTATATATTACTTTGCAAAAATATTGACACGATGGAAAAATTTCCTCTTTTAAAAATATATTTTCCACAACAGGCGTGTTTCTCAATTTTCTTTTCTCTAGTAAACACACACACACACACACACACACACACACACTAAAGTAAAATAAAAACTAATTACCTGTACACTGTCCTCCATTGGTAGGATCTCCATAATAACCTGGCATGCAGTCCTGACACTGCTTTCCTGTGGTCAGATTTTTACACTGCTCGCACACATTATTATTGATGCAAGTGCTATGTCCATTACACTGGCAAGCTAAAGAAAAGAGTAAAAATATATATATATATCTATAAAGACAAAGAATTTATTTTAAAAATCTGAATGTTAGCAAAGTCCAACAAGCATTTCCCAAGTTGTTTTAATGTATAACAATATGTGGCTCAAAATGTCAATGCAGAACAATTATACAATAAATTCTATTTAGAAATGTTGCCTATACTCTGTAAAATGTGCGAGTTAGAGATAAATTGAAACATAAAAGTTATACCTAAGCAGGGAATACTTTTAAACACAGTCCCAAAAGATTCATGTGAATATTGTCTATTAAGTTACATAAACAAAAGTCTGAATAATACAGCTTTGATTAAAAGTGTTAAAATTCACCTTAATTATATTTACACATAATAACAAAGAATCGATTAATATAGAAAACTGTTTGGTAATAGGTTCTTACTTCAAGTACATATATATATGGAAGATTAGCAAAAATAGTACTTTTAAATTAATTTGCATACATTTTTAGCTTCTTTTGGCAAGAAAAGGTTCAAGGCCTAATTGAAAATCTATGTGAATGTGAACTAACAGAATCAGATTTAAAGCATGAGTTTTTTTGTTTTCATAATATGAGATTTATTATATTTTCACATTAATATTGTAATAGAATCCAACCATTTCAGAGGAGAGATGAAGTTAATATATGAAACCTCACACCTTTAGTGACTATTTGGAGCATAATGCTGACTGACTTAGTTTGGTAACTGTCGAAACATCATCCGCACTGTCACCTTCATAATCATTTTCATCATGATTACAACTGAGACAGCATTTAACTGAACTCTCTCTCATTTTAGGCAGGAAAGCCAACGTTCAGGTGATTTCAACTGTTGGACAAAGGCGTGTATTCTGATTGGTCAGTTTACATACTGCATCAATTTTGAAATATTATAAATACCATCTCATTGTCATATAGCATAGTAGGTGATATACATGAATTATACCTTTAATCCTCACAACAATTCTATGTAGAAGGTACTATTTCTAGGACCATTTCTAAGATAAGAAAGCCTGGGTGGTTAAGCAACTACCCCAATCACACAGCTAATCAATGGAAGAAAGAAATACATAATCAGATGTATGACTCAAAAGACCAGACATTAAACACCATACTTCTATGTGGAAAATTTGGAAATGAAAGGGAAATCCCAAGTGACTAGCATAAGGTCTCAACATCAGTGAACACAGAGTGAAGAAATACACCCACATAAAGAGTAAATACCAAATACCTATATCTTACAAAATTTTTCAGAGGCATAACTCTATTGTTACATAGCATTGAAATGACATGGAGTCATCATGGAAAATGTTAAGTAATCTTCATCATCCTTTTAATGAAATTAAGAAAAGTTGTAGTGTTCAACTTTTATTATCATATATCATACTATAAAACAAGAGAAAGTTTAATAACAAAGGAAAATGTTCATGACAATTAAGTAAAATAAAGATACAAAACATTACGTTTAAAATGATTATAATTTTGTTTTTAAAGGTATAAATATGCCTATGGAAAAGTTAATGATGGTTATCTTAGTTTAGCAAATATATCTGCACCATCAACTTTCTAATTGCATTCATATTACTTTTATAATCAGGAACAATAATGTTACCTTTAATTTTTTTAACATTGTGCTTGAAAGTTTAAAGTATTGTTTCCTAGAAAATTTTAAGTGAAACCAATAAGGCCAATTCACTCATATAAAAATGAAACTTATTGAGTGCTCACTATGTGTAAAGCATTGCCTGAGAAAAATCAAAGAGATGGGTTGCTTGAGGTATTTTATGAAACTCCTGGCCACATTTTTTCATCACAAAAACAAATGCTTTAACTACTGAATAAGAGGGTTAAGTGTAGCAACTGCATCTCATCCTCACAGATTCCCACTGAAATAATACGGTAACTTGCCAGAAACAACGAATATCTGGGTAAGGCTACAACTACACAAAAAAGCAGAAAGTAGGAACCTGTGATCCCTCTGGAAATTGAAATGGGACCCCGAGTACAATGCAATCACCGTCCCTTTCCAAAAGGGAGATGTTCTAAAGGCAGATCTGGGCCATGCGCCAACCAAGAAGCTTAATTACTTGTATGCCTCCATACAGCTGCTGGGAAGTGAGATACAAGGATGTCTAATGTTTATGTAGTGAATATACCACACAGAAAGTTGGTATGTTTTAGACCTAACTGCAAGCTAAATTTCCAGTAAGAAAAAAAAAACACAAACAAAAAAATGGTCATTGCCATAGCTTGTAATTAATACAGTAGCAAAGGAAAAGGAGACGGTCCATCAGAGAAAGCAGGACCCAGGAGACACTCTCTGGCATACAATCCAAATTAAGAAATTAAGAAAACAATTTCATTTACAATAGCATCGGGAAGAATGAAATACTTAGAAATATTTAGCTGAAGAAATGTAAGACTTGTATGTTGAAAACTACAAAACATTGTTGAAAAAAATTAATGTAAAGGTATTCTGTATTCATGGATTAAAAGATTTAATAGTATTAAAATACCAATTCATTCCAATTGATCTATAAATTTAATGCAATATTTATCAAATTCCAACAGTCATTTTTTATAGGAAGAGACAAGCAGAGCCTAAAATTCATATTAAATTACAAAGGACCCAAACTAGTCAAAACAATCTTGAAAAAGAACAAAACTAAAAGACTGACATGTCTCCATTTTGAAACATACTCCAAAGATACAGTAATCAAAACAGTGTGATACTGGCATATGCACAGACATACAGATCACTGACACAGAATTAGGTCCAGAAATAACCCCATGTATCTATGATCAACTGACTTTCAACAAGGGTGCCAAGACCATTAAATGGGGAACATTAACAGCATTTTCAGTAAATGGTACTAGAGTAACTTGATATCCACATGCAAAAGAATGAATTTGAATCCATATAATAACACCATTTGTAACAATAAACTAAATATGGGTCAAAGACCTAAAGTAAGAGCTAAAATTATAAAAAAAAGTTACAAGAAAATAAAGATGTAAATCTTCATTACTTTGGATTAGGTAGCAGTTTCTTAGATATGACACCAAAAGCATAAGCAATCTACAGAAAAAAATACAGATATACTGGACATCAAAATCCTATATAATAAAAGGTTAATATGCGAATTAACCAAATGAGAGAACAACCAGTCACTATGACACACACTGACCACCAGGGGGCTGACGCTCAATGCAGGAGCTGCCCCCTGGTGGTCAGTGTGCTCCCACAGGGTGAGTGCCACTCAGCAAGAAGCTAAGCTCACAGCTGGAGAGCGCAGCAGTGGTGGCAGGATCCTTTCTCACCTCCACAGCAGCATTAAGGACCCCTCAGGGGATGTCCGCCTGCCAGCTTAGGTCCACTTCCTGAGGTCCCAGACTATGAGAGGGTGCAGGCTGGGCTGCGGGACCCATACCCCACCTAGGGCATGAATGTCATGCATGGGGCCTCTAGTAAATAAATAAAAACTCTGTGCCTCAAAGGACACCATCAAGAAATTGAAGCAACAAGTCATAGTACAGGAGAACCCATACTAAATCATATCTATAATATATAAATAACAATATTCTTCAATTTAAAAAATGTTTGAATGAACAAAGGGTTCTAATAGACATTTCCCAAAGAAGATCTATGAATAACTAATAAGTACATGAAAAAGGCATCATTAATCATAAGGGAAAGGAAATTCAAAAGCACAAGTTACCACTTCACACCTGCTAGGAGGGTATTAATCAAAATGATGGACATTAACCAGTGTTGGTGAGGACAGAATAACTAGAACATGCATACACTTCTGCTGGTGAGGTAAAATGGTGCAGAAGTCTGGAACACCTCCTGGCAATTCACCAAAGTGTTAAATGTAGATTATCATATGACCTAAATTTCCACTCCTAGGTAGATGCCAAAAATAAATAAAACATGTCCACATAAAATTTATTTAAAATGCTCATAGTGGCATCATTCACAACAGCAAGAAAAGTGGAAATAAGCCAAGGACCTATCAACTGATGAACATACGGACATGTGTTAGGTAACTGAGTATTATTCAACCATAGACATAAGTAAAGGACTAATATATGCTGTAATATTGATGAACCTTAAAAAAGGGTGTTAAATGAAAGAAACCAGACACCAAAGAAAATATAAGATTTCATTTACATGAAATGTCCAAAACAGACAAATACACAAAGAAAAAAAGCTAATTAGTGGTTCTTAGGGGGAAAGTAGTGGCTGTTAAAGGGGATGGGTTTTGTTTGGGGGATTGAATAGGGAGTTTCAATCAAAATGTTCTGGAACTATATGATGATGGTAATTGCACACCTACTGATTATATTAAAAACTGCTGAATTCTTTACATCAAAATGGTGGATTTTATGACATACTAGTGCTCCGGTGCATGGATTCGTGCACACTGAAAGAAAATTAATTAGAAGTTGGCCAGCGGGGTGGGACTGGGAGAGATGGGCCAGACACGCCCTGGAGCCAACCTCCCATGGTCCCTACCCAGCAGGCCACATCGAAGGGCATATGCGGAATGAGCGGGGTCTCTACAGTAGGTGGGGTCCCTTGGCCTGGTCAGCGGGTATCAGGCCAAAACTGGCTCTCCAACATCCACCAAGGGGTCCCAGATTGCGAGAGGGTGGTTCTCTGGTGATGCACCCCGGAATCGGGCTCCCTCCTGTCTGGTCCCAGGGTTCATCACCCGAGAACTACCGCTGCCAAGTCACCGCAGCTCGTCAACTCCTGCATTGAGCATCTGCCCCCTGGTGGTCATTGCACATCATAGCTATGGTCGGATGGTCAGACGGTCACTTAGCC